ATAGCTGTAAATAAACTTACTTATTTATAACAAACCATGACCAACTCCATCCCAAATATTCTAAAGTCTTTCTCCCAAAGTAAATGTAATAAAATTAACAAACTAAAGTAACGCACCTTTCTACAACCCAAAAGCAGTCAAAATCACTGTTGTGTGCTACAACTCGTGTTTATATACGTAAAATGACATCATGAAACGCGACCAATCAGTAACGTTGCGTAAATTACAACAACCAATGAAAAACATGAAGGGATGCTATAGTTCCCTCAACAAATTCCCACGCTTACGAGAAAGTAATAAAAATAAAAGAAACATTTATTTTCTAGCCTAACTATTTCTTGTATCATTAAATATCTATACAAGCATTAACAATAAATTATAGTCGCCCGCGTGGCGCAGTGGTTAGAGCGTCTACTCTAGAGTCGCGGAGTAAGGAGTTGATCCTTACGTCGCGGGTTCGAATCCCACTGTGGGACGTGGAGACCGGTCCATCGAATGAGACCGTATAAACCGAGGTCCCGTGTCGCAGTAGGTGCTGGCACGAAAAAGATCCCTCACTGCTCAATGGCCTTAGAGTATAGGACAAAATTGCAGCTCTCCACCGGCAAGTGGTGGAGTCTCCATATGAGTGAAAAATTCTCGAGAGGGACTTTAAACAACATACAAACAAAAAATAAATTATAATTGAAATATAGCGCTCGTTAAACTTCGTAAACACATGGCGCATGGCATTATGGGAGTCGGCCATAACTAAAACAATATGTACCACGAGTTCCTAACAATAAAGTAAAACAAGTATAAACAGTGGAATTCAGGTAATTATGCATGTATAAAACTAGTCTTTACTTAGTGGACAAATTATCTCACACACCATTTATACTTTAATGACAAAACGATCAAAATACGCATCATAAAACAAACAGAGCAAATCAAACTTTAGGGGGCGATGTCAAAAGCATAAATTATGTACAAGTACATAAGAGTATGAGTATCAACTATACATACACACGTAGCTATATTCTTACAGTATTTTTCACTCTTATTTTTTTCTACTTTGCAAATTGCTGTGTTTTTTATCTATTAAATTGATTTGAATGCCATTTTTGTGTTTACTCAGTGGTAGAAATATACGCAGAAAAAGTGTTAATATTTGTTTTGTTAAGATGTTTTTTTATTAAGCGCGCTTTATGAAATATGCTACATGATAAGTCTGTGTGATTTGCAAACCAATAATACACAAAACTCAGGCCCGTAGCAACGGTTTCAAAAGTAGGGGGAGGGAGGACAACTTCCGAAAAAAATCTGACAAGGAAAAAAAATAATAATACTGATCAAAATTATCTGACGAACGCAAAAAAAAGAAACCTCATTAACGTTCCAAATATTAGAATTTGCCTTACAGCAATAAACAAGAGGCCCATGGGCCTCATCGCTCATCTGAGCACATTGGCCAGGAAGAAGCAGAAATCAATTCAGTATTGAACAGTGGGAGGGTGGACTTTAATTTACACTACCTTTCATATCAATATTACTAATCATAGCTTTGTTGTTGATTCTAAACAGAAGAATTGTAAAGATTTTTTCCTGTTTTCCTATATAAAACTCTGATCGCTTATTGTGGCCCCACCCTATCCACCTAATTTTGAACAAATATGAATCTACACTATCGGAGAATGCTTCTATAATAATATGACTAATCATGGCTTTGCGGTTCTTGAGCAGAATATTTTTTCTTGATGATTCCTATATATTCTTATGCAAACCTTTGACCCTCTGTTGTGTCATAATTTGAACAAACTTGATTCTACAATACCTAAGGTTGCTTCTGTATAAGTATGACTAATAATGGCTTTAGCTGTTCTTGAGAGGAAGATTTTAAAGATATTTCCTAGGTAACGTGAATGATCAGGTTCTGTAAGGGATATATAACTTTTCTTTTTACTCTATCTGAATTAATGATTGGAATGATTATTAAGACAGCTCTTTCTTAGGGTAAATCACACAGAACTTAAATTTTCTCTTATCTAGAGAATGGGACAAGGCAAAGTACTACATGCACCGTGTTTCTCCCCTTTGTTCCCATTGATATAAGAACTGGATCTCTCATTCTTCTTCAGAGTTACTACACACAGAACTTAACATCAATTACCTAGGATACTTCTCACTGCTGTTTATAACTTTTATACTTTGATTTTGCTCTAACCCGTAACTTTTCTTTATTGCTGATTCAACGTCCGACTTCTTTAGCTAGCTTCTGAAAGCCTGACTTTCCCAAAGTTCTGCCTTATAAACCCTTTGGTTTGGCTACTCCATTCCAAGTTTTGTCATGTCATTCCACTATTTGAAGTCTTCAATGCGTTTAACTGAAATGCCGCTTAACCATTAAACCTTTATATTCTGTTGTAAAACTCTAACCCACAGTTTTGACCCCCGCCCGGGGGGCATTATTTGAACAAACTTGAATCTACACTACCTGAGGATATTTCTTTATAAATATGACTAATAATGGCTAAGCTTTTCTTGAGAAGAAGATTTTTGAAGATATTTCCTAAATATTCCTATGGTGAAATTTGACCCCCTGTTGTAGCCCTGTCCCAGGGTTCATGATTGAAACAAACTTGAATCTACACTACCTGAAGATACTTCTATTATGATATGACTAATAATGGCTTTAGCTGTTTTTGAGAAGAAGATTTTTAAAGACATGTCCTATATATTCCTATGTAAAACTTCGACCCCCTCTTGTGGCCCCGTCCTACCCCGGGGTTATAATATAAACAAACTTGAATCTAGAGTATATAATGAAGCGTTCACATAAATTTCATCTTTTCATGCCCAATGGTCCTTGAGAAGAAGATTTTTAAAAGATGCCACCAAATTTTGACGAATTTTTTATCACCCCTTGAAAGAAGGCGTGGTATTTCCTGTGAACAAACTTAAATCCACTTCACCCAAGAATGCTTTTTGTCAAGTTTGGTTGAAATTGGCCCAAGTTTTCTTGTGAAGTCAAAAATGCGAAAAGTTTTACTGTTTACAGACAACAGACGACAAAGTGCGAGGCCATCCAGCACCTACAGGGAAATTTACTACAGCAAAATATTATACTCAGAAAAAGTCCCCCCCCTCCCCCGCGTTCTACCGGCCTGAAACTTAGCTAGAGAACAAATACACTCATAATATTATGCACACAATTCGTCATAATTATCCTATACATTAAATAATTATTAACTAATTTATAATTAAACAGGTGAAAAAATTAACACCAATGACAGCCCTAGATGTTGTGTAGAAATATTCATTATATATTCATAATGCGCTGCAGGAGAGCTTGATTTTGATTAAAAGCTCAGTAAAGTTTGGATTTTATTTCTAATATCAGATCTTCTTATACATTATTTTCAGACGATATATCGGCACATAAACCAACAAAACAAGGCCTCGATGATCAAATATTAGATGTGGCCCAAAATGTTGTAGACAGATCTCTATCCACATGTTCTACTACTGATTTCTCAAATCCAGCATGGTGGTATGTGGATCTCCAAAAAGTCAAAAGTATTTATGACGTAGAGATTTATTTCAGGCTTTATGATACCACACTTGGTAAGTAATTAAAATAATTCATATTATGAATAAAATGAAACAAAAGTCAAAACTTTTCGAACCATTCTGTCCTTTGAGAAAATCCGAAAAGAATCTGTCCTAAATCATTATATTAAATAGTAAACAAATTTTCGCTGCTCAGAGCAAAGGTTTATTTTGGAGAAAAATAGCTTGCATCTTGGCGGTCTTGAAGCAGCTGTATTTTTTAGTCTGGGGTATTGTAGGAGTTGTAATTCTATGCAACACATTGTAAAAGGTGAAAATAACGAACAGTGATTAAAGCTGAATATGATTCGTAAAAGCAATGTGTCCGCCATTTTTGTTCGGATTCTCGCTATATCTGAGGACCCCTATATAAAGGGCATGACTTGGACACTGTTCAGTATAATCAGTCGACACCGGTGTAGACGGACGTATGCTATACACCACTAGGTAACGACAAAAAATAACTGTAATACCTCGTCTAATGCAGGAAAGTAAGATACAAAAGAAACTTACAATTATAGTTGTACAGGTCAGTGCAGTATACAAACAAACACAGATACACGTAACTACAATAAAATGTAAACAAAGGTAATGCAAGATAACCAGCACGAACACGGGTCGCCATTCCACGCCGATACCCGTGACAATAAAGCAGTCAGGTGTAACGAATGCGAAGAAGATGTATCGTAGATATAATATCGAAAATCGCGTATGCCTATTTACGAGTCGTGTTCAGCTTTAATCTCCTACATCCAGTTATCAAAACGAATCGTTAACAGAGCAAACACACGGACCCATATGGAAACGCCAGAGGGAGAATTAGGTGCCTACGAGGAGTAAGCATCACCTCTCGTTAGCCCCATGCATTCATCAGGGAGACGGAGCAACTCGAATTTACTCAAATTTAGTGTACAAGCAATAACCTTACAAATAGTATCAATGACAAATGTCAGAAAAATACGACACAACGATAGGTTGTATTTCTAAATAAGGTCATAATAACCACTCTAAAATTGCAAAAAGCATGTTGTTGAAATCATTGATTCACTAACTTATTTGTTAGTAACTTGCATCGGTTTTAAAATTGTTCGTATTCAGAACATCCTCGTGCATACGGTATGGAATCAGTTGGGAGACTTAAACACGGTTATGTATGTGATGTTAGAATATTGCCACATATATTAGGGAAGTTGAGGTTGGAAAAGATGAAGTCATCTCGTTTGTCCTACGGTTTAGTTGTTAGTTGGTCATTATCGTTAGTAAAACATCTAAATATGAAACAAATGGTGCAGACGCAGTGGTGTCTTTTAAATTTGGGATATACTGAGTCAATATATAATGAAAATAATTATTGTTAATTGATAAAACGTTGTCAATATATCTAAATGTTAGTTAAAGCCAAATGTACAAATGTGGTTCCTTCTCATAAAGAAGTTTTTGAAGAAATCTTGCTTCATATAAATAAATAAAAAAAATGCCGGCAAATATAGGAGCGCAATTACTGCCCATCAGAAATTCATTAAATCTAAGATATATTGCATGTGTGACACCCTTTCAATTTTCTAATTATAATATGGAACAACGACAGAGAGAGCGTATGTATGGATACAAACTCTACATCTCTAACAGTACAGATTTCAGCCTGTTACAAGAGGCTTACTTGTGTTACAATCATAAAGGGCCGGATTTACCCGATCTTAACGTTACTCATAAATGTGTTACGTTTGGTCGATATGTAATTTTCTACAACGAAAGAGTTCCTGGTGTTACGTATCCAAACAATCAGAAAGAAACATACACACAGCTGTGTGAAGTTATAGTACAAGGTAGTTTTATCTTTTGCAGATCACATATATTCATTTTACTTGAAATAGACACATACCGGCTATTAAATTTAAAGGTATTTTAAAGGTTGTGACAAAGATGATGTTCATGGGAATCTCTGTAATAAAAACTGTCCTTCAAACTGCCAAGAGAAAAGATGTTACATAACTAACGGAACTTGTGCTGGATGTACAGACGGTTGGATTGGTAAAAAGTGCCGTAATGGTAAGATTAAGAAAGTCATTTTCATTTTAGGAATTTCATTATTGTTTATGTTCATCATTCTGTTATGCATATGTTCGCCTTTAACTATGATGCCTTTAAAACTCATTTAAAATGTCAATCCCCTTTACTACACCACATGAATTTTACAAAATTTGGAAAGGATCGCATGCAAGAGAGCAAAAGGAAGAAGGTAAAGCACAAATGGTGAAAGCTGGACTGATGATACTGAGAATAATATCTACTCCTTGTATCAATGCACATAACAAAGTTATTTTTTTTCAAAATGTTAATGATTGAATTTGATTTTAGCACGAAAAAAATCGTATCATGCGCGCACATCAATGAGGGAAAGTGGGACATCTTCACAGTTTATTTCCAATTCTAAATTTATAAACAACTTGTTTAATTAAATGCAGTAATACTTTAGCAAACGTTTTATTATGTTCAGTTTATGTTTCAGCTTGTCCAGCTGGAAAATATGGAGCTGAATGCAAGAATACATGTACAGATCATTGTGGAAATAATACTTCTTGCAATCATGTGACTGGTCATTGCGAGGGGTGTCTATCAGGATGGATGGGATATGATTGCAATGAAAGTAAGATAAGAAATATAACGGGTATTCAATGTTTTATAGTTGGATATGGAAATCATTTCATACGTGGGACAGTATATTTTGATATTTTTACTTGCGAAGCACTGTTAAGGCCATACGCATGAAGGAGGCAGGGCCTAATTTATACAGGAAATGCTTATTGTGACATTACGCAAAAATACGATTTTCTTAAAATACCAGAAAATGAAGAAATCAATATATTTTTAACTGTTTGAGTATTAAACTTCTGTATATCAAAAATTACCACAGCAGGTTAAAACAAATTACTGCTCGCAATACACTGGATGACATAACGTATTTATAGTAAAAATTGATGCATTTTAATTGCAGTAAAAGACGGTTCAAGTAATTTTTGAATATATAAACATATTTTCCCAATTAAAAATAATGTGTATTTCGTTGTCGTCATCCTTACACTTTTCTTTTTTTAAATTACAATACTTTAACGATATCCATTTATGTATTCAAGCCATTTGTAGAAAGATTATACTTCTGTGCAAAATATACAATTAAAGATTTTAATGTGACTTGAGTTATAAATTAAGAGGAAAAAATCAGAGTTTCATTGCAGGATATATTAGAGAAATCGTAAGAGAAGATCAAACCATGAGTAATGTAATGTTATTACTAACAACTTGTCATACATAAGCAATCCCTACGTAGGAGTTCATCATTTAGCACATGTAATTTGTTTTACATCACATCTTCAGTACGTCCACCTGGCACGTATGGAGAAGACTGTAGGGGAAGTGTAGTGGAAACTGTATCAACAACGACACCTGCTTCAACATCAATGGATATTGTCTTCGAGGTTGCCGTGATGGATTTCAAGGAATTCGCTGCAATGAACAAAGTGTTGTCGTTATGGGTGGTTTAGCAAACCAGTGTTAATATTACCATGTAATTCACAAAAATATACATTATAGGCAGATTATCTACATTCAAAAAGGTAATTGTTCAATGTCAGATATGTCATTATCATGTCACAGTTGATTTAACGATGACCCTGTGACAATCAATTTGTATGTCAAACAACATTTTTGTAATTCTAAAAGTGCTTTTGAAAGAGGATTTATGAGTACATTGTCCAAAATACGAAATAGTAGTATTTAGTGTTTTTAGTGTAACTGACATTCAATTTTACTTATTTTTTAACGCCTTTGCTTATTTACTTAAAATAGATTTTACTAGCCCATGTACCGACCAAAGAGACAATGTTGCCAAATTGACAGCGGGCTTGGTTATTTCTTTCCTGATCAATGTTGGATTTTGCTTTATATTGCTTTACTTCATCGGGTATGTTTATTTTTACGTACCAGTGGAATTCCGAGGAGTTTATAAGTCAGTTATAGCTTTAAAGGGCATGGACACACTTGCATTACTGTGTTAAAGAAAAATTATACATTTTAATTTTTATTTGAAAAATAGTTTCAGTTTAATGATTTGAACTTACAAAAAATTCTTAATACTCAATGATGATGGCATGTATAGCGTTGGGGTCGAAGGATAAAATTGCAGGGTTCTAATAAGTTTAATACATGCAAGATATAATTCCAGTGATTTACAATACATTAAATGGGGATCTTTTTTCCTCCATTGTAATATTTATCTGGACTCTGAGCATGATTAATGTTCGTTATTTTCACATTACATTCAATTTTGAGATACATGCAATGTCAATATTTGGAGCATATCATAATTTGTAAAAAAAAAAATTGAAATGCATGATTTATACTAATATCTTGTTTTCATATTCGATGTCAACTTAAAGCATCAAATGAATGAGATTTAAATTTATTCATATTTTAAAAAAAATGTATATTCCCCAATAAATTCTAACCTTCCTTTTGCCAGCTGATCAAGAAATTTGATTTTTATTCATTTCTTTATGTCATTTATTACTTAAGGTCGTCAATCTTATTCATTTTTGATTTAAGTATCATTATTATCATTGAACATATGGGAAAAAAATTTTCTGGAGGCAAATCTAGGGTATTTCTGGTCTGATTCCTTTGCTTTTAAGGAATTGGATGATATATAAACCGTATAAAATTATATGCTGATCTTGGTAGTAATTAAGGAATGTATTTAATAGGTACCCATTTTATACGGTATAAACGGGGTTGGGGCAGTTTATAAACCGCGAAGAGGTTTATAAAAAAGCTTGGGCGAGTTGTCTTAAGGGCAAGTTGTTCTAGGGGCGAAATGTTTAACATTCTCGCGCATGCGTAAACCGAATTAAGCCCATGGCATCTGGTTAAACCCCGCTTATATATTTTCTGCGTGGATCTCAGGGTCCACGCAATAAGGATAATCTTTGAGAGGGACATTTTCGTAAAAACTGCGTCACATAAAAATAGTCTATTATGAAATCACTGCTTATTTTCATTGGCAGGTTTAGTACAAACTTAGGTATATCGTGAAAACATACTTGAAAAAAAAGATAGGAATAGTTTTTCTTTTCCTTTTTTGTTTCTTATATAATCAAAGTTTATAATAAAATATTATATGAAAGTAAAATTGACATTATTCTCTGTAGGAAGAAAGAGAATAAGAAAGAAAATGACCACCCTTCCTACGAGGCCAGTGACAGAGGGCGTTCCCAACAAAGATCAACATCTGACGGCCATGTTGAAAATCATACATATGAGGATTTGAATGCCACACGAGAATCAGAAGCCCTTCAAGATTATCGGAATCTCTCGCTCAATAACACCAGAGCAAACGCTATATAGCAGAAGTGAATGTTAACTTTTTATTAAAAAAGCACTGATACACATAATAACCTTTAAATAAAGTTGTAATACCCGTCTCGAATACAGGAAAATGTTATCATAAAACAGTTATGATCCTACTTCGCCAAAGCTATCTAACAAACTGATAGATTGGCAAGTTAATATGTATTCTATGGAGAGAAAAAAAAATTCTTGTCTGGGTTGTTTTAAAAATATTCCTAAAGAAACTGGGCTTATGTGAATTGGTTGTTAGTGTATTATACATTTCCCGTTTTTATGTGAAAAAGCGCACTGTTATCTTTTTCAAACCCTGCCAGATTCACCTTTCCAGTGAAAGCGATGCAAAGCTAGAGATCAGATTCTGGAATTGTTTGGTAGCAACTTAACTAATCTGCAGAGTATCGTTTTAATATGCTGTGTATCATTACAGGGGTTGATATCGAAATGTCAGTTCAACGAAGGGCAAAAAAGGATGTAACTTTGGGAGGTTTTAATAATCATCACTTATTGGTTAAAATGTAAAAATAACGAAAAATAATCAAGCTCAAAAGTCCATTGAAACAATACAAATTAAGAGCAGAGCAAACACGGACCTCTTAAAACATGAGAGGTGGGATCAGGTGCAATGGAGGTGTAAGCATCAATGTAGACCAGTCACACATGCCGTTTGCCTCTTGTCAGGATCGAGAAAACGGAAAAATCCGTTGATAATTCAGTATAAAATCCAGTTTATTCCTATCTTTTCTTTCAGAATGTAACAATGGGCATGTTTTGTCTGTAAATAACACTCAGTGTGATATGATGGCGTATCCCCATAAGTTTATTTTCCCTTCGGAAATTTTAATACAAAGTGACGGTTTTTAAGGGGGAAATTAGGTATATAGTATTATGTTCATCAGAGTATAAATTCCCTGAAATATTTGTAGATTTAAACTTTACTATTAGAATACAACTCATTTTTTTTAACCTAATATGCTCTTGTGGACTAATTCAATACATATTTTGGAAATAAAGAAATTTTCTACTTCACAAGGATGCAAATAAAAAGATTAAAAATTTGAAACTTAGTTTAAAGAAATTCTTGGGTATTTTAGGGGGGGGGGATAAGAAAAATCGTGCCAACTACTGAAAAAAAAACATGTGGAAGATACTTCAGCGATAATTGTATCTCTTAAAAACTAGCTGTGAAAACTTGATGGTTCATAACAAATCAGTGCATTAAGACTGTTACTTACACCAAAAGGGAGGTAACTGAAAAGTAAATTATCAATCATGAATATCAAAACTATAATAAAATTGCAAAATTTATCATATCTTTTTCATGCCTTTGCTTAGTAGCATTTTTTTAAATTTCTAAAATGTTCTTTCTGTATGGTATGTTAATTTTTTTTTGAGCCATGGATGAACTAGTGAAATGAAGATATGTTTGAAAGAAATAACAAAAGGTAAATATTTCTCAAGTTTTTACTATAATACAGCAGACCAACCCAAAAAAAAAATATTGACATAAATAAGCAGATTAGGAAAAAAATATTCATATATCTTAAGGAATACAAAGTTTTCTCTGTTCTACATATACCATGCATAAGTCTATAATGACAATTATTTTTCACAGAAACTTTGTTGTGGCTATTTCGCCTATACAGCCAAGTATATTTAAGAAATAGATAGCATGTTTAAAAATTTCAATGGGAAATGAAGTGATCAAATCATGAGAAGGTCGAAAGACGGGTAAACTCAAGATTTGTTCACACACTAAACCCAATTTATTTCCCAGTGAAGCTTAAATAACTTGTCATATATACACTTGAGATGGGCAAGCAAAAATTCCAATACCTGCCAATCGTAGATTTGACAAAACGGCACAAGTATTAAATCGGCTTGGAGAGCGGTTACGCTTTGAATTACATTGCAAAGGGCTGTGAAGCGAATATTCTGTGAAAAGTTACTTGTGATCACTAATGATACGCAGATTGTTTTTCTGTGATTTTTTTGGTTTCCTTGAGAACCGCTATTCCATGTTTGCAAAGACACAAGGAACACACCCCTTGTTGGATAATAGAAATTTGGAAGAATATCGGAAAAGGTAGGGAAACACCAGGCCACATAATTTCATATTCAGAATTAGAAATCAACCACAATTTTATGATTTGGTGAGGGATATTTCTCACGATGTTAGTGCCGGCGACTGTTTTCCTTGTCAAGAAATTGCTCTCGTCGAAGGTATAGACTGTGTAATTTCGGAAATGTTTGTGGCATGTATGTATTGATATTTACAGGCAGACTTGCATTTTGATGTGAGTAAAGTTAAATGAAGGAAAACTAATAAAGCACTAGTCATAGTTTGAAATGAAGATTAAAGGTTTACCGGAAAAATAAAGAAAACATCGTAGCTACTATTACGGGATCAATTTCTCCGTGTAATACTAATTCTGAACCAACCCTAAGTTTTCCTCGTATTGTTGAACTCAGATTCATAAAACCTCCAAAAAGACAACAAGCATTTTAGTTTTGGTACTTCTATACTGAATTAGCATGGAATGTACTTTTACTTGCGCTTGCACCGATGGTCTGATTCCAACTGACTTTGATTTTTAACAACAATTAAAGAATAAACAAGTATAAAGCAATGAAAAAATATCAAAACCCGTTGTTTAAGACCAGTAAAATAGAAGTCCTGCATCGTTCAAGCGGATGCATTCTGATCTAAAGGTGAATTAAGGTTTGATATTTCAGATTATCATATAAATAAACGTTTTATGCATGAAATATGGAGATAAAGAACAGTAATCAAGCTCAAAAGTCCATTGAAACAATATAAATCGGGAGCAGAGCAAACGCGGATATCTAAAAACATCAGAGGTGGGACCAGATGCCATGAAGGAGTAAAATTTCATGTCGACCGGTCACACCCGCCGTGTGCTTCTTGTCATGATCCGAAAAATGGAAATTTTTTTTTTTATATAATTCAGTGTGTAGATAATGGCCTAACAGTTTGTATGAAAAACGTCAATCAGCATTCAACTTATTGATAGATTGTTTTCGCTGAAGAGGACAGAATTTGCGAAATGTGGACTTTAAACGAGACTGTTGACATCCTTGTTTCATCAACTTGTTTTCAATAGCTTGCCTCGTTTTAGAA